AATTCCAAGAACATATGCACACATATTATCATGCAATTTTGATATAAGCCATTGTAAATGGATTAGCATAAAATTACACCATCTAAAACAGGTTTTATAACACCAAAACAGTTTAGGGTAATGTTTCTAGTCCATTTCCAGCAACAAAACTCGAAAATCTGCATTCTGAGGCTTCTACTCGTCAAGTGCACGAACCTACTCGACGAGTAGGATGAATTTACTCATGGACTCGGCGAGTCCCCCCATGGACTCGGCGAGTTCATGCTGCAGAATGCAGAAAACTTGAGTTTTTCAAAAAGTTTGCATCAAGTATCAAACAAACAAGCCTAGGCTCTGATACCACTGTTGGGTTTTGAGCAAACTAACACTCCTAAGGTGTTCATGCAACCCTAGAAACCTTGGATCTATGTTTGTCTAAAATACATGCAAAATAATTTTCCAAGGTTCATAACCTATCTAGCATACATGGGGTACTTTTAAACATAAAAGATACTAGAAGAATTACATACCTTTGTTAGTGAGTTGATTCCTTGAGAGTTTGAGAGCCAAACACCAATAATGTGAATGCCTCAAATGGAAATCACAAATCACCACAAACTTGGAAAACTTATGAGAGAGCACTCTAATACTCTAGAAATCGGCCACACCTTATGCACACACACATAGTGCTTTTTCAAGCACTATAAGCCTCTTTATATAGTGTAGATGATTAGGGTTATGAACCATGCAAACCCTAATAACCCATGTCTTTTCCTATTCCAAGGATCCATGGGTTAAAAGCTCCATGGATCATCCATGGACTCCCATTCAAGCTTAGCCCATTTCCTTATGAGTGTTAGCCCACACTATATAAGTACAATAGCCCATTATTTAATTAGTCACCTTATGATCACTAAATTAATTCATAATTAATTTAAGATCAATACTATATAAATAATACAATTTCATATTAATATATTATAACTTATAATATATTAGTAGGCTGCAAATATACTCTTCTCATAATGTTATCCATATAAATAGTTCGGGTGAAGTGCAACCCAAATGGACCATGCCGGGTCGGGTCAAGTATATACCAAATAAGTTATGGACTTAGACACCTTATCCAACAAGAGGGAGGCTGGTCTGAAGGACATAATGTTCTTTATATAGTGCTTAACCCTAAAAATTAGGGTTTGGGGGCTCTGAACGTACGCTGGGCGTACCTCCTGTACGCTGGGCGTACACCTCCTACACCCGCGTCCACTTATCCCTTCTATGCTGGGCGTACCCCAGCTTATGCTGGGCGTACTCTCATGCATGCCACCTTGCATGCATGGGATTTCCTTGCCACTTATCTCCATTAGGGACCAATATTGCCAATAACTTCAAAGTGTCATAACTTCCTCATCCGAGGTCCGTTTCCAACGAACCTTATATCCACGAAAAGGTGGCGAGAATCCCTACGCTCCTAACAACACGCCCAAGCCTTAAAATCTTCCAAGTAAAACCCAAAACTCATAAAAGACCGAGACATCCGTTTACAATCATACCCTTGGCTTCCGAAGACACAAACGAGTACTTGGGTCACTCATGCCATGACCCGCACCTCCGAATTGGGCCAAATACTTCTTTTCCCAAGGCCCTCAACCCTATGACAATGATAATTGGGCCGCAGCCCCGAGCAACGAAACACTTTCAAAACTGGTTGTTACAACTCTCGCCCACTTAAATTAGATTTCATCCTCGAAATCTCTCTTTACTAACACTCCAAATCGAAACCACAACATGGAGATATCCAACCCTAAGTCTCTAAAAGAAACCACTTTTACCTCCCTAAAACCGGAAATCCGCATTGGTATGACTTCCTGACAGACCACCCTCGTTGAGCCTTACCATGCTTAGTCCTCCTCGAATGACCGACCAAAAGCACACTTCCAATCCTGATTATCTCGATGCTACCATCAGAAACAAAATCACTGACCATAACGACTGTAGAATACTTATACTTGACAGAAGGCTCAGATAATCCTTCGAGTAGAAGATTCATCCCTGCAACGGTTAGACTCAGACGATAGCTGCACAACAGGGTCAAATCAATTACTCTGAGATTATTTAATCCAACTGTAAGTGTATTTTGCACTTTCGATCCGCAAGGTACTCCACACACAAGAATCCTCACATCACTACTTCTGCCCGAACATTGTGCTGTCTCTTATCCACTTTCCGAATGAACCGAGACGTCCCAGGTCCCAACTTATCTGCCAACTATATGGAATACCGGATTCCTACCCGGTTGCTGAGCAAAAGAACACCCTCTTAGTCACTCCCTGCGACTTCCGAAGTAAACTTCGGCTATCAAAATTGCCCTATCCACATTGCCACTCTTTGATCTATAAATTTTGGGATCCCTGATCCCATACCTTGACCCAACGTTCTCTGCCAGGTCCCACCTGCATTGCTATAAGCACACCAGCCTCGCCCACGGGTCCCACCCAAACTATATCACGGAGTGGCCTTGCCCACAGGTCTCACCTAACTAGGGCTGCACATGCCCAGCTCCACCTCGAATCGCAACGACCTATCCTTTCCTGATTTCGATCCTGCTGTGGCCCTTCCACGATCCTACGAGCTGACCCACCCTGGCTTAGCTTATCTGAATGAATATGTGAATGCTACGACTTATTCCGCAGTCTAACAACACTCTCACACACTATCTGACCGCATGAAGAATGCTAGGGCTGCCCCGCAGTCGTACTATACTTTCCATGCTATCGGGCTGCTGGTGAATGCTATGGCTATCCCATAGTCTTACAACACTTCCCATGCTAACTCAACCACTGACCATGGTCTTACCGCTGATTACCAATCTGAGCACGTCCAATGTCGAGCACTCACGCAGTCTAGCATCCTGACTGAACTCGCGTCCTGACGGAAATTTCCAACCTGATTTCCCCAACACCAGCTATCAAACACCAAGAAGATGCGAACCCAATGTTGGGAAGTTTCCCAAACTCCCAACTCACACACTCCTCGACCCAAACAGCCACTTGGGCCGTCTTCCTCCCCAACGGGAATGCGAACTCATCCTAGTTTTGCATCTACTTCTGTTCCTGGATACCTGAACGATTCTCCCCCACTTTGATTCAACTAACATCTTATAACACACAAGACTGGAAGGATTCCCAATCCTTCTTACCATCCAATGATCAATATGCTGGAAACCAACGCTTAGCACTGTTAGTGTTCCAAAACTAACCAACACTAAAGCAGTACAACTCTTGAATCCTAACGGAACATCTCCCGAGTTTCAATCACACTTGCTACAGCTACCACATCCTGGGAACCCACTATATAAGGAGACTACCTTGAACTACTGCTTTAAGATTCATGGTATGTAGATGGAATACAACTTGAACATAAGCAGAAAATATAACTCCAAGATACACTTACTCATACCGATGCAAGACAACCACAAAATACAGATAGAACCAAAAAGAGAAAAAGATACATACTCGTAACCTCATCTGAAGAAACCTCAAATCCTCCTTCCTGCCGAAGCCTGCGATGAAACCGGAGCCGCCCCAACCGCTGAGTGGGGGAAATTCACCCTGACATGACCAGGCTGATGACAACGATGACATAACTCTACTTCTAATATGCTTTGTCACCCTTCCATCCGTACCTTCCGCACTTAGACTTGCTGCGCACATCCTCTCGTGTCCCCTTTTTCCTTCGTGCGACCATCTCGACCCCTCTGGTCTCTGACACCAGCTACGGCAGTGTCCAAATGCCCATATTGTCGAGTCAGACAGGAAGTCCGCTTCCTCTTCCTCAGCTGACTATCTAAACCATTCTCCCGCTTTTGGGTCACCCTGACCACCTCATCAACCGCCTGAATAGCTGAGGCCGCCTTTCGATCCCGACAACCGCTCTATCGGTGACACGCCCAATGATATTGGGTAACTCCTCGCGGAGGGCCCGCGAAACCTCTATGGCAATCCAATCCTGAAGTTGAATCTCCTGAAGACCTGGTGCACAACTCACCTCCGATCCCAAACGACAAAAGCTAACAATAGGATCCTCCCCCCAGAAGGATCCCAGAGATCCACAAGCTTCGGGCTCCGGATGAGCCCCCAACTACCCTGCTACAATCTCGGCCCGAAAGGCCCCGAGACGACTATCCAATACCTCCAACATTACAATAAAAACAACCTTTTACGAAACGCAATGCGTGTTGTAAAACGCTCAGACGACACGCAAATGCGTGTCAAGGAAGGCCTTGTCATAATGAAAGACGACACGCTTTTGCGCGTCGTCTATTTACAACACGCATTTACGACGCTCATTTACGACACGCATTGCGTATCAAGGAAGACCCTGTCATAAAGGAAGACGACACACATTTGGGTGTCGTAACCTTACGACACGCATTTACGACTCGCATTGCGTATCATTAAAGCCCCTGTCAAGAAAGGTCATGTCATAAATGAAGATGACACACATGTTTGCGTATCGTAATCTTAAATGTTTTTAAAAAAATATTATTTATAGATTTACTAATTTTCAAATTAAGTTTGCATGTAATATCTCATAATAGAAAATAAAATATCATATACAAAAAATACAATCCATTGCATAAAATTTAATGTCATACAAATAATCGTTTCACGGAAAGATAAAACAAATCAATAGAAGTTGTAACAGAAATTTACAAACTAATTAGAAAAGAAATATGAAAAACTTGAAATCCCTGCGATTAATAGTTCTAACAGAAGCTTCATGTGAGATACATACAGCGATTAATAGTTCTAACAGAAGCTTCATGTGAGATACATACAGTTGGACCAGTAAGCAAGGATGTTCCCGAATCCACAATAGCAGCACAAGAACACGTACACGTACACAGTAGTATTATAAACACTTGATATATGTTATAAGATTAAGAAAGGCCCGTGAAGCGAAATATTTTAACCTCTAGTGTGCACTGGAAAACAGCTTCAAATATACGTAGGGCATCATCAATCATAGCACCCTTGTACCTACAATGGAATCAAGAAAAGTCATACCACAGAAGTGCAAGAAAGTCAAACAGAAAACAACATACATACTTGATCTTCAGCTTTATCAAGAAAAGTCTCAATCAGCTTCAGTGTTTCCCTCTTCACGGACCTTAGTAGTTTCACATATGAAGTTCTAAAAGCAAAAGGCCCGAGACAACAGAAAGATGCCAGATTGTTATTTCTCACATAAAACTATATTCACACATACCTGTTCATTAAGATGCCAGATTGTTTTTTTTGTAGGAACAACAGAAAGAAAATCTTTATAAAGATAAGATGCAAAATTAGGATCCACAGAAACAACAACCACTTCAGGCTTTTCATTTCCATCATCCATCAATTGAACAGTCAAACGAGACGTGGGACCGGTCAACTGCAAATAAAAAAAATCTTATTTCCAATATTTTATAATAAAGTAAAGAAAAGAAAAAGACTACACATTGAAATCTGTAGATGTTTTCATCATGAAGAAGCACATGTGCGTAAGATTGATTTATCCAAAGTGAATAACATGTAAGATTACCTGTTTGACAAGTTTATAAATTAATTTATCCAAATTGAATAACAGATTGATTTATCCAAAGTGAATAACATGTAAGATTACCTGTTTGACAAGTTTATAAATTAATTTATTCAAAGTGAATAACACATAAGATTGATTCTCTAAAATTGCACGACAATCGTCTTCAAATTTTGCATTATCAGCTGACCCATCAAGCAAGTTATATAAAGCACTCATAAATCTATAAATATTTTGTTTAATTAAGATTTTAATTTAAGTGAAAATAAAGAATTTTTAAAAAAATGACCTTGAGTAGAGATCTGGAGAGGAAGTGTCTTTGTTGGAGCTTCTCCACTTTGTTTCAGCAGATGTTGAATTGAATTAAAAAAAATTAAAATTAAAAAAAGAAAAAAGAAAAAAGAAAATATTGAATATTTAATATTCTTACTTGATGAATCGAACTCGACAACGGTATTATAATATTACAATACTACATTCTCATTTCTCACTAACATATATATCAAGTTAGTATTATACTATTATATACTTAATTAAAAAAACTTAAAACTCAATTTAATTTTTAATTTATTTAACATTTTAATGAAATTATAGGTTGCTGATGTAGCTGTGCTTTGTGTTCAACCTACCCGAGTTACAGGCCATATACAACCATTTGTGTCAGGCAAGAGTGTTATTTGTGCATAAACTTCATCTATTTCTTGTTCAGCCAAAAAAAATGAATCCAGAACTAAATTACTTAAATATCCATTAATCTCTAAAAAAGACTAAACTACCCTCACTAACTTATTCGAAGGTGAACATTCATCACTTTACATAGTATTTTGGCAGGTAAGTTAAATGATGGGAGCTGCTGGTCTAATCCTTGATGCATGGAAGCCTCAAGCTGTAAGAATAACCAAAATTTTGTGTCATTGCATGTGGTCTTGAATTAAAAAGAAAAGATTCACATGAAAGGTAGAAAATAAGGTCTTGAAAGGAAATTGAATAACAAACCTGTTCCATGTGGCCTTGAGGGAAGTAACAAACACGTTCTCCATCACGAGGGACATTGACAAGGGGGCCAGCACAGGCATGCCACAATTCTTTGTATATGACATCACCAGAGGATCCTGAAAAAAATTGAGTATTATACAAACATATGTGAATTATATGGCATCACCAGAGGATGCTGAAAAAAAAATATATATTATTAACAAAACCAGTTTTTAGAAGACATACGACACTTTGAGGAACTCCTGGAGGAGGTAAAGGGAGGATTCTGGGTGGAGGGTCACGAAGATATGAGCTTTTGTCAAAACGTCATTCCCCAATCTTCCCATAAGTTAACTCTCCCTGTAGCGTGTTAAAAAAAAAATTAGCTTATTTAAAGTGGACATGATTTTATCTAGTAAGGGAGTGTTTGGAATTTGCTTATTTAAAGTGATAGCTCATTGCAGTTGGTACTGCTAATAAGTTACTTTGAGTGTTTAGATTGTACAAAATGGTTTATGCTTATTGTGGTTTAGGATCTGTTTCATGCGTAAAAACTGACTTGTTTTTTTTGAGCTTATTGCAATGTGGTGTTTTGTGACTAGTTTTTTGAAAAAAAAAGTATATGAGCTATCAAAGTTTTTTTTTTCCAATGGCTCTTTGATTATAGATTTTGGAATATATTTGAGATAGTTGGTTACTGTAAAACGATATTAACTTTTATTTTATTTTTTTTATTTTTTTACGTGCGACACTATATTTCATAAATATAATATAATCAGTTTTCTATTATTTTTTTATTAAAAAATTTAAGAAAAACAATTCCCACATTGCATAAAGTTTGAAGCATGAAGATTAAAACTAAATCTATAAATTTCCATGTCAACTTCAATCAGTGGTTCAACAACAACTTCAAAGAGAGGATCAATTATAGCTCAGTTAATGGAAGTTGATATACGCCATTGCTAAAAGAATTAATGCAAAACTGAAAAGAAACCCATATGAGGTATAGATTTTATCTGTACACATACATAGATGCATACATACATGTGTCTATATGCATACATACATGTATTTCTATCTATATATGTATGTATACATATGCATGTATGTATAGCTATATGTGTGTACAATTGCAAACTAAAAAAACAAGGGGAAACCAAACAAGCCATGTAAGTCATGTATAGAATCAAATCCCCATATTTGAACAAGTTGTTTCTGAATTTAAAGGCTTAAAGGACAAACTATCATGACTATAAGCCCATAAAAGATCAATAAATGTGAACCTGGTTTTTTTGTGCTGCGACACAGGGGATGATTAGTAATCCTGGTGTCCTCCAACTTCTATAAGATGAACCAATGCAACAAGGGAGATCAAGGACACTGACCGATCTATTCTCTCGGCACAATCTAACAGCAAATTAAACAGTGGGGGTAGCATAAAACATACCTCCTGAAACAGTAACACACATATTTTATAAATAAAAAAAGTATAAAGTTTTATGAAATTAAAGTAAATAAAAAAACATAGCTTTCTACATACCTTGTAAAAAGTATTGAAAATGTTGCATAACAACTCAAACAATACCTCTAGTGCACAGTTACTAACTTTAGGTCTCGGGTTAGATGTCAAATCAGACAATTCAGCCTACATTGGGAACCAATATGATACGAACCCATCCCATACTAGGCACATATCATGCCATAAGCCCAAGTGTAGAACTCACTCCCAAAAGCCAGCAGCTTGTAGGAGGAGGGGACACCTAGACTTATAAGCCACCAACTTATAGTATTTTCGGCCGATGTGGGATCACAACAATACCCCCCGCTTTGAAGAGCCAACGTCCTTGTTGGTCACGGTTGGCACCCCCTTTTGGTTTAAGACACCACTCCGAGTCATTGTTGGTCACGGCTACGTTGGTCACGGTTGGCACCCCTCTTTTTTGGGTCCAAGCCACCACTCCGTAGGCCACCACTCCAAGTGTTGGCACCTCGAAAGATGGGGACGGCTCTGATACCAGTTGATACGAACCCACCCCATACTAGGTCTGTATCATGCCATAAGCTCAAGTGTAGAACTCACTCCCAAAAGCCAGATTGTAGGAGGAGGGGGCACCTAGACTTTTAAGCCACCAACTTATAGTACTTTCGGCCGATGTGGGATCATAACAATACCCCACGCTTTGAAGAGCCAACATCTTCGTTGCTCACGGTTGGCACCCCCTTTTGGTCCAAGCCACCACTCTGAGTCATTGTTGGTCACGGCTACGTTGGTCACGGTTGGCACCCCTCTTTTTTGGGTCCAAGCCACCACTCCGTAGGCCACCACTCCAAGTGTTGACACCTCGAAAGATGGGGACGGCTCTGATACCAATTGATACAAACCCATCCCATACTAGGCACGTATCATGCCATAAGCCCAAGTGTAGAACTCACTCCCAAAAGCCATCTTGTAGGAGGAGGGGACACCTAGACTTATAAGCCACCAACTTATAGTACTTTCGGCCGATGTGGGATCATAACACAATAATTCTCTGTTATATCACTAGTGTCACAACTAGCAATTTTAGCTAGGAAATTTTATTCTCATGAAAACATCATCTATTGTAAGACATGTACTCTAAGCGAATATCATACTCTATGCTCATTCAAATACATCTCTCATGTTCAACAAAGAGTTTGAAACTCTAAATATTCCGGTTCAAGGCTATTATGGTCTAGGACATTCTTATTGGGCCTAATGGGCCAATAAGTATCCAAACCGACTATTTTGGGCCTAGGACCCTTAAATGGGCTCTAAATGGACCCACATTCACAAAACTCAACATTTTGGGCCACAAAAATTCCAATAGCCTTAATGGATCATGAACTCCATTCTTTTACCCTAATGGGCCTAAAAATAGTAGTGGGCCTATAAAATCCGATCAAAGCCAAGGATTTGAGCACAAAATCATTTTTTTCATCCACTCCATGTGGCCCATTCTCGGCCCAAGATACAAAAAAAAAAGAGAAAAGAAATAGAAGTAGGATGGTTTAGATTCATGACAACACACAATTATTTAACATGCATCAAGAAAATCACAAACATCCATCAAGTTCATTACCCAACATGCAAAAATCCTTTCTTCTCTCCCTTCTTATTGCTCTCGGCCATTAGGGCCTCCATCACCACCATCATTTTCATCTTCAAAACTCAAGAATTTTCTCTCATCCTCCTCTCTAATATGAAGAATTTCCCCCTTCCATCCTCCTAATTTTCAAGAATATCAAGAGCACATCAAGGACTCATCTTCAAAGTTCATCACATTTGGTAAGCTTTTGGTTGGACTCCATGGTCTTAACTTCAAGATACACCTTAAATCTCATCTTAACCCACCTTATTTTATGATCTATGCTCTTAGAACACCTTAGAGCCCGGAAATCATCTCAAAACACATCTAGGGCCGAGATCTCTTCATTTCTTCATCAAAAACCGAAATCTTCAAACAAGGTGAGTTTATACCCCCTATTTTCGATTTTTACTTTGTTTTGGGGGAGAATACAAGTTGTGTTGTGTAGATCTATGTGTGTATGCATGAATATGTGTGTTTTTCATGATTTATTTGGTGGTTATGTGTTATTTACTTCATAAATCTAAAAATATGTTAAGAATATTAACTTTATCACTTGGATCTACATGAAAACCTTGAGAAAAGTATGTTTTATCACATATAATACATGTAAACTAGGAGATCTGGGATTTATACACTTAAAATAGTAAAAATGAGTGTTGTGTTCCAAGATCTATAAACTAAACTAAAAAATCAACCCTTCACAGAAAAGTTTTGGTCCAATCTAGAACTGTTTTGACCACCTAAATGATAATATTTTTCAAAACTGTTTTACATGCAAAACGTTCAGGTTTATACCTTTAAAATGACTACTCTCACGTTTTCATACGATTTTTCTACAATTTTTGGCGAATTTTACAAAACTGCCTATCAGATTTGAAATAATTTCGGACCATCCTGTGAAGGTGAGCAATTTCACACTTGTTAGAAGCCATTAAAAATTATGAGAAACATTTTGAACCAAGTAAACAAAATTTCCAAACTTCCAGAATTTACGGATCCAAATTTCGACTTACGATGATTTTTCTACAAATTTTCCAACAATTAGGTCAGAAAAGCCCAAAACCAGAAAAATGTGTGTTTTCACAAAAATCAAGCCAAAAATGATATTTTTGACAAAATGGCTTTAAAATGTTATTTTTACCACAAACTAGTCATCAACACAAGTTTTGAACAAAATGGAGACTAAAGTGTTATTCTTACAAAAATTGGTCCTTAATTGTAAATTTTTGGCTTATCGGGCCAAGAACGTCATATTTACAAAAAGTGGGTTTTTATGCTATTTTAGTGAATACTTGAACCAAAACCAACGATAAACTAACAAACGGATTAAATTGATCATTTTCTAGGTTATTGGGCCTTGGATACTATTTGTGTGCTATTTGGGTCTGTAAATACCTTACATGTGAAATGGGCCTTAGTTGTCCTTTCATATATATTTCGGGCCCATGTTATATAATCTCATTCCAATTGGGCCTTGAAATGATTTACATGTTTAGCGATGCCTTAGTGGTTCACTTACATGGTTCATTGGGCCTGGAACGAGATTATACCTTTCTTCGCATAAATTCGATTAAGGATCTAGTGAGTTTTATCGGTTGACACCTATTAAGTGTTCGATCGTAGCCTGTAGTTATAACCAGAGTCTCTTGGAGGGAGAGCGGAGATTTATGTATAGATCTATACGGGGATGACACCCCACACCTGAGCTGTTCGCTACAGTTAGACTAACTCAGTCTAGGGTGACGAAAACCTTATAATCAAAACCGGCGTCCAACAACACCAAGACAGGCGAAATTGTCATTATTTAGTATGGTTATGATGGCTCACTTAGAGGAATTAATGTTATGAAGTTTACGAAAGACCATTCTCTTTTCTTTTGGATTACTCAGAAACATACTCGTACTGGTACTCAACCTCGGGGGTTGGTATGACAGCTTTCTCTTTTACAGACAACATCGGGTTGTCTGGGAACATTCTCTATACATGCTCTTTACATTCTCTCTACATTCTCTTTACCCTTTTAGTCAAATAAACAATAACATACATGCATTAATACAAGATCTGACACGAACATACTAAACAGTTTTCAGAAAATATAGGATTTTCTGGTGGTTTCAAAGTTATACAAATCATTTTCACAAACGTGCTTATGAACTCACCAACATTTTTATGTTGACCTTTTTTTAAATTAACTTGTATTCTCAGGAAACCGTTGAAGCAGGATGAACGAAACAAACTAATGGATATTTTGTTATATTTTGTTAGATCATGCTCTGACTATTTTCGCATATAATATTCAAATACAATACTTAATGTAAACAATGAATGTTGTTATATTACATGTGTGATGATGATGATGTTATGTTTAAATTATATACTCTGTAATGATACTACAATGTCGAAAGTCACACCAAGCCCCCGGACGTTTCCGCCGTCTGGTTCGGGGGTGTGACAACTAGTTGCATCTGCATTATCACCAATCGGTTTCAAGCTGCCACCTGGCACCAGACCCTGAACAATAATTTAAGTAAGTGGATGATTAAAATAAATAAAAAAACAAAAAAACAAACCTCTACAAGTCTATCTTCACATATACGGAGAAGTGCAATGGCTTTCAAACTGATGCGATGATAAGTTTTATTGTTGGCAAAACTAATTAGACAGTTGACACAATCCATAAAACAGTCACCAACAACTTGATCAAAGTGTTCAAGTATAACTACAAGTTTTTGTTTTTCTTTTCTGTTAGACATGAAAACCTTCTTAAAAAATAAAGATGTTATCATATTAATAAGTTGAATACCTTATTCTACATTCTCAAAAGCACTTTTGACAATTGGTTCCAGATCATCATCTGAAGCAGTTGTGAAAATCATGAAAACACTTCTCCAACCAAATATAATGCTTTCAACTTTTGATTTTATCATCTGAACAACACAATCCACGATTAATCTTTGGATTATTTCACTCCATCTATTTCACATCAAAACAACAAACGGTTTCAAGATGTCATTCTGGAATGTGAAATTAGCAAGCTCTGCACGTTCCAGATACTTCATCCCAACTTATCTTAGAGAATCTATAACACACATTGCTATCTTCTCATCATGATGGCTTCCGGCAGCAATAAAATGATTAGCCAAAACAGACCATATTCTAGCCCATACCTGAACAAATACAATATTTTCCAATCATTAAAAACTGAAAATAAAATCTAAAATTTGAATAGATGAAGTATTTTTACTATTTACCATACGAATACGGGTCATGTTGAAAATAAAATCTAAAATTTGAATAGATGAAGTACTTTTAAGAATACCGATTATGTCCGCTCTTTCCTCAACTTTTGGCTATTTGCTGCTTTTCCCAATGTTATCATCTTTCATTTTTATTTCTTCTTGAACAATGGAATCATAAATTTCTTCCAGAAGATCTGTTGGTGCAGATTCTTCAGGGTCATTTGTGGCATTCATTCGCACAAACTCCGCTTTTGTTATTTTAGGAAACACCATTGGATTATGAGCATCATTGTTTGACATTATAATTGCATATGCAAGAATGTAAGCAGTGTCTGCATTCTTGAAAAGACCTGGATTATCTGCACAGTAACTGCAAAATACAAGAAACACTTGTTAGCTACAAATAAGAGTCAAGTTTAAGCATAAAACTGACGATTGGTAGTTTATTTAGAATGTGATTTAAATATACACTTACATTAAGAGAAACAACAATCAACGATTCTTCTGCAGGTTAAATCTATGGTGGTCGCACCTCAAACATAATGTTTGTTTCTTGTTCATCCCCTTTCCCGTTTCCATGTGTCTTTGTTCCTAATTAACCCTAGTCGATTATTTCACCAAAAATTGGAAGTTTGTTCCTTCGATTGTAAATGAAATAGAGAGAAATTAAGCCCGAAAGAAAAAGAGATTTAGCAAGCTAGGGTTCTAATAGAAGAACGAAAACATTGGGAAGTGAGAATCAAGAAAAACATACCTTAATAAGACATAGGGCTTGTAAATTTGAGCAATAGAAGAAGTAAGCTTAAGGTCACTGGACCTAATGTTGTTGGAAAGGGGAGGCGATGTGAGATTGTCGATTATTGCAGAGGCCAGAGAGCACTGAGAGAATTCGTTCGAGAGTCGGCATATGTTGCATATGTTGAATAGGGTTTCGGATTGTGAACACTGGTTGTTGGTGGCAGACATGAGGTGGGAGATTATGGTTTCGAGTTATGAGTTGTCGGAGGTGTATAGGAGAGCTGGCATCATGCTTAGGGTTTGCAGAGAGAAGAGAAGAAGAGAATGAAGGAGATCTTGAAGCGGGGTACTTCAAAATTTTGGAATTTTAGAAGATTTCATTTCCCCCGGAACGCGCGTTTTGAGTAAAAAAAATATAAAATGAAACTTATGGAGGACACACACTTAAAATAAGTGCCCTCCGTGTTTTTGAAATCTTTTTTGTTGGACAATAATTTTAGGGCACACAAAAATACGTGTCCTCTATCCTTTAAAATTTGGAAGGTTGACATTATTTTTAGGACACACAAAAAATGTGTATCGTAAATCAGTGTGTGTCATTGTTCGCGTGTCATTAAAGGGTGTTTTTCTAGTAGTGCAAAATCCTCTCCTTGACTGAACCAAAGATCACAGGAGTCTGCTCTAAAATACCGCGGGTAATCTCCGACGAGATGAACTCCAGCGTCTGCTAGCTGATCGGCTCAGTACCTAGACCTGAGTCGAAAACCGAACTAGAACCATAACTTGAACCACCTCCTTGAGATCTCAACTCCAAACTCAAGCCAAAAATCTGATTATACCCAAGAATCCACCTCTCAGAAGCTTCTTAGATTCTCCAAGACTCTCACCGATTCGAGTATGGATCCTGTGCTTTTAGTAGTACGGGCCCAATACTACCTTCCACACCTATCCATACGTTCCTCAGCAATCCTCCTGAATCCTCTAAGTCACTTCTTCAAACCATTATGCCAGTACTCACTGAACCATACTACCAACCCATTGCAACATATCCTAGGCTCTCCTATGTTCCCGAACCCACCCAGTCCTCAGCTGTTGAAGGATTTCCCATCAATGTCAACTAGCTACCTCATGAATATAGCCAGAATATAGCCACATGCAACAGAGATCAGATAATCCTTCGAGTAAAAGACTCATCCGTCGAACGGTTGGACTCAGACAAGAGATGTGCAATAGGGTTAAGTCCATCACTCTGAGATTATCCGGCCTGTGCCCCATGTGACTTAGCATATTCACTTAGTAGCTAGCTCACACTGCTAAGAGTCCCACAAAGCACAAAGCAAACAACATTCAGATAATGGAAAATCTAACCAACATACTCCAATCAAACCATTCTATCCTCTAATCAAGAATCTGTACTAGCATGCAATTCGAAGGCTCATACAATTAGGCATAACCTAAACAGGTTATCCGACCATTGGCTGATCAATTTTAGCATGCAAATCTACAAGCTCATATAAGCATACAAAGGCATCTCTCCTAGATTCTTAGATCTAATCTAGCATGCGTTTCACATATTCACAATTCATATCATAACATAATCGTGTTTGCGTAATTTGGGATAACTTACTTGAGCTCGGATGATTGCATGCACCACACCCTTTTCTCTTCCCAAAATCATGTTTATAAAAAATGATTTTCTTTTGAAAATTTTCATACCGAGTCCTCAGTTTGAGTTCAGACACACCCGAGAGTGTGCCCGAATCCCTCAAACCAAGGCTCTGATACCAACTTGTAACATCCCAAAAATTCATGACCAAAAATTTCATTTTAAACCATTAAATTAAAACCATAGTTATCAAACCATTCAATCAAAACACGAGTCAAAGTATTTCAAAAAATTATCATCCGAGTTTCCAAATCAAAACATCAGAGTAAACATCCCAGGCTAAACATCATGGTGTGTGCAATGCAGTCATCCCGAGCTCTTCTCTTTGCAACTGGAAGTACCTGAAACCAAAACTGAAAACCGTAAGCACGAAGCTTAGTGAGTTCCCCATACTACCACATACCATACACCTAATCACATATACTGGGCCCCCGCCCCTTCATTGGGACCCCCTCGGCATCGGATAATGTCCGACATCAGGCCCCGCCTGGCATTGAGCACCGCTCGGTATACAAATCTGTTTCTCCCACGCCCCGCCTGTCACTGGGCCTCGCGCGCTATACACATATAAACAGTAACATTTAATTATGCTAGCACATAGAGAATCATACACAGTACTATATGTTCCAATCCTAAGGTCTCGCCAATCATGGGCCCCGCCCATACTCTGCTAATGATGAGATATGGAACCCAGTCCACACTCAACTAGTGATGAGATACGGGACCCCGCCCACACTCACCTCCTTACCAGGCACATACAAGTATTACAAAGACAACAAGTATAACTAAACATGCATATATTTATTGGGTACCACCTGACATTGAACCGTAGTTCGAAATCATACATATAAACATTCCTAGGGCCCCGCCCGACATCGGAGCGTAATCTGGAAATCATACAGACATTCCTCGGGCATTGCCCAACATCAGACCATAATCCGGAAATCATATAGATACATACACATGCAAGAATCACGAAGACATTAAGCATACCAACATTCCTCGGGCACTGCTCGACATCGGATCGTAACCCTGAAACACATAGCATAAATACGGGCCGGCATTGGTGCCTTCGACCCATTCAAACAGAAGGAAACTCACCTCGCAAAGCTGGATCTCACGGATAATCCTCTGACTGCTAGCTGGTAGATCCCCGAACTGCTGATCTCTCGACTCCCCGAGCCACTAATCATCACATAAACTAGTTAATTTTGGGATTCTTATAACTTAACCATAAGTCATCACTGGGGTAAAACACCATTGTACCCCTCACATACTCTTGTCCCAAAATGAACTCTACTCAACTCTTGGCCCAAATAGATAAACACTCCAACAAGGCCCAATCCCTTCATAAGGGCCTCAACCTAAGGCCCAATAATGCTTTTCTAGTCCAAATGTTTAATTCCAGATGGCCCACTAAGGCCCAAGATACCAGCCCATGGAAATGGCCCAAACTGAGGCCCAAACAATGCAAAGCCCAAATCCACTGAGTACACGGGGCGTACTCCTATGTACGCTAAGCGTACAATCTTTATGGCATGTACGCTGCGTGTACATGCTTGTACGCCCAACGTACTGCTATGTTAATCCATTTATACCATTAAGCACTTAATACTTTATTCCAGAGGCTAATATCACAGATCCAAGTCTTCTTCAACGTCTTAATCCATAAAGTCACTGACTTGGTGACTTTACATGACCCAAATGAACCCAAACTCAAAGTATAGCAATCTACTTCCATGAAAATGGCCATAACTAAAGCATGAAAGGATTTTAATCCCAAAGATGACAACTTTATGATCCAATGACCCAAATAACACTAAGAATGGCAATTCTAAGTTCCAAAAATGACATGGACACAAGGGACTTCATCCATGGGACCAAAAGAGTCCATAAACCCAATCCTAAAAGAGATCCAAGAGAATAACCACCAAGATTAGAACTTTATACCTTGAAAAGGTCTGAAATGAAGCAACAATCCCAGATCTACAACTTCTCCTTTGCACCAACACCTTGCTTGCCCTTCATTTCCTTGAGGAATGGATCAAAACACCAAAATGCTCTCCAAAAGGCCTTCCAAGAACACAAACACACAAACTATGGATGGTTTCGTGGGAGCTGTTCTAAGGGTGAGAGGGAGGCTGGTCTGAAGGACTTTATGTTTTTTATATAGTGCTCAACCCTAAAAGTTAGGGTTTGGGGACTCTGAACGTACGCTGGGTACACTTCATGTACGTTGGGTGTACGCCTCCCACACCCGCATCCACTTATCCCTTCTATGTTGGGTGTACCCTAACTTATGCTGGGCGTACTCTCGCGCATGCCACCTTGCATGCATGGGATTTTCTTGCCACTTATCTCCATTAGGGACCAATATTGCCAATAACTTCAAAGTGTCATAAATTCCTCATCCGATGTCCGTTTCCAACGAACCTTATATCCACAAAAAGATGGCGAGAAGCCCTACGCTCCTAACAACACGCCCAAGCCTTAAAACCGTCCGAGTAAAACCCAAAACTCATAAAAGACCGAGACATCCGTTTACAATCATACCCTTGGCTTCCGAAGACACAAACGGATACTTGGGTCACTCATGCCATGACCCCCACCTCCGAACTGGGCCAAA